CCTTGTACCCAAGGAAGACAAGCTAGTAGGTGCCAAGCAATCCCTGATAATGTGATTCATTAGGATAACATTCTGCAGTCGCAGCGACAAGAAAGTTTCCAAGTCTATAGTGTCGTCTTCTTACTGCAAGATGGGGCTCTGGGAATTGCTGTTTTCTCCATGGCACTAGCAAGGAGGTAAACCACATTGGAATGCTTTCTAGTTCTCAATGAGAAGCAGTTACTCCTTAGCCATTCACTAACCGCCATCAACTTCAAAATGTAGAAAGTTTGAGTTTGAATTTACCACAGAAACTAAGGGGCTTAAAACAGTGTGTGTGGGTGGAGGGAGGAGGGAGCAGAGGGGGTTCCTAGCCTACTGCTTTCAGCAATGTAAGATGGCATTTCCCAGAAACTTTTCCACAATTACCCCCCAAACCAGAGCCTTTAGAGTATTATTTCTGGCTGTGCACAAAGGGTCTTACTATATCCTCTAGAATGTGTAACTTAAGTATATGTTTTCTTCCTTATTCAAGAATAATGTTATAGGTAGCCCTGGCTGGGTGGCTAAGTTGGTTGGAGCATCATCTCACACAATAAAAGACTGTGGTTTGATTCCCAGTCAGGGCATATAACTAGGTTTCAGGTTTGACCCCAGGTCAGGGCACATACAGGAGGCAACTGATCAATGTTTCTCTCTCACATTGATGCTTCTCCTCCCCGCCCACCCTCCCCCCACCCCAACCCTTCCTCTTTCTCTAAAATCAATAAGCATATCCTCAAATGAGGATTACAAAAAAAATGTGGGTGGGTGTAGAATAGACTCAGAGATGAGAGAAGACTACTTATATCTGGAAATGTAGAAGGAACAGCATTTTCTAGGTACACGGTATAGGTAATTTTTAGTATTTTAAATAAATGTGATCCCAATGGATAAACTAAGTCCTCTACTGCTAAACAGATTTATACTGATTTCAAGAGCTCTGAGTCTGTAACCTACTCAATCTGTCCAGCAATGTTATAGCTGTTGCTTAATAATAGTGGTCAAACTAACCTTACAATGAAATTTGAACTAGAAAGAAACACCTAACTATGGCTATTTCTGCTAACACAGAATTAGGCATCCAGATAAAAAGCTTTGGACAGAACTCAGAGGTACCATCTTTTCATGTGACCTGAGTGAACACAGCTCAGAGATGCAAGGCTCTTGCAATAACATCTCCCCAAGAAACAGTGTTTATATGCTAAATAGCAAAACACATGACTCAGCTTAGAGAGAAAGTTAAGTGTTTAAAATATGGGGGGGAAGGGGATATTATGTAATACTTGAAAGTGAAAATTTAAGGCTTTTCCCCCATGATAAAACTGTAATTAAATCTTATTTAACTGTTTCCTCTAATGACATCCATTTTAATTAGGTTTTAATAAACTGGCAGCCACAACCTATAGTTTTAAAAAGCAAAGTAAAATTACAGTCTAGGAAACATTTAAGGCGAAGAGACCCATCAACACAGATGAGAGGTTACAATATATCCCCTCATACCAAAAGACCCCCACGGTAATTAAGTGTGCTGAATAGACAGCCAGTAGGTGTGCTCGCCACCAATGGCACTGGGCTGTTCTTTGAAATCCCAAGTAGTATCTGTGATCTGTTTTCCAGGAAATTTGCAAGTCTCAGAATAACAAAAGCAATTCAAGAGGTGTGTGTTCTATAGCTCTACTAGCTGTGTAGCCTCTATCAAATGTGCAACTTAGCTTCTACCACTGAAAGGGGCTTTCTGTTTTAAGATTTTAATACACACATTTTCTATAGCTGATCATGACACAACACTCCTCTTGAGAAGACTGCCTTATGCTTAAGAAAATGAGCATTCATGTAGAGAAAGTAAAATTAATATATGAAAAATTGATTCACATATAAGACAAAGTATCTGCAAATGAGATGCACTAAACAGAAGCTTAATATTCATTTGTATTTATTTCATACATTATGAAAATCAGGGAGTAAATCACAAAATTAACTCAGACCAAATGAATATCATAGGCACTAATTTTAGAAAAGAAGAACTGAGCATAATTAGTTCCTTTGTTAGCCAGAGAATGGGGGAAGAAATTGGGCCTGTTGCTACCTCAAAAAAAGTTTACATACATTTATCTGAAAGAGAAAAAGTTAAGTGACTGCTGTTTTTTAAAACGAATTTTAAATCAACACTTAAATTTTAATAAATTACATATACTCAGAATATTGTAAATATGGGGGACGGGGAATATCTATCCTATAAAAAAAAATTTGTAATCTGGCCAAGATGCCTCCAAACCCCTCTGCCAAACAGCAGGGTTACTTAGCCAAGTTAGTCTTACTTGTACACTTTCGTCAGAGTAAAGCTTTCATGCCAGGAAATATTTTTTTTCTGGTGTATTGGTCATTGCCAGAAATGGACCCATCGAACCCACCGGTGCTAAGGAGTTAAGCATCTGAGATTTAATTTAACAGTTTCAGCTTTATTAAGCTGTCACAGAGCAGCCCCACTTTGATAACAGTAGCTGCTCCAATTATGGCTTGGTTTAGGGTTGACAAGTGTAATGATTCATTCGTGGCACATGAGAAGCAATAAAAGGTTGTTTTGCATTACAGCTTTAAAAATGTGGGCACTTTTTTCATTTAATTTGTCACTTAGCTTTTGCTAAGAGGACATTTAAATTGCAGTAAAAGGCAAATGGGGCTTTTAGTTTAAATGTAATCCCCATATTTAAATGATCTGTAATGGCGCAGTGTTGGAGTGGGAACACTATTGTCTCACAGTGGGTCCTGATGGTGACATGTGACATTTGTATTCAAGTCCTGTATTATCCATGTGGCTAAAGGGCTTCCAATTTCATTTCACAGCCAGAAGCCTGCAGAAAACACCAATTAACTTGCAGATCCCATTTGCCGACAAAACTCAGCCTCTTCTCAATGTCTGGCATCTGGCAGTGCTCAGCATTTAATTCCAGAGCAGAGCCTTGAAGCAATGTGAGCCCAGTGCAGGGGCACAAAGTCAAATTCCCCCATTTTATTAAGAACCAAAACCCTTTCCCTTTGTAGTCCAGACGCAACTTTTAGTTAATTTTTTGGTGAATGAATATTAAGATGTGATAGCTATTGTTCTAAGTAGGGTTCTTCACAGAGCTCAGACCCCATTAAAACAGCAGGTGACCTCTGCTCACCACCAGAACACATAGGAGAATTTATAGCAGTCTAGTAATTATTTGGGGATGGGGTGTGATAAAAGAAAACATAGGGCAAGAAGATGTACTCTTCATCCTGGACTGAAACCAAACTTGAATAGAGGCTGGTCCATAATTAGAAGGTCATCAGAGGGTATAACTAGAATCAGCTCATGGAAACTTGCACTCAATGAGAATTTATACTTTTGATTAAGGGTTGAGGTACATAATTTTCAAAACCAACTTGGAAAAGTAAGATGTGACTAATGGATTAAATGTGAACTATACAAGTTTTGGCTATATCACTTGTATTTATTTGATAACCAAAAAATTTAGTTGGTACTTTCTTCTTACTAGTTATTTGTAATCCTAAGCTTCTCTAAGTACTAAAGTTCTTTAAATTTTATTCATTTAATACTAATCCAATAATGTTTTCTTAAATGATTCCCTTCATTATAGTTTTTTTAATGCTAGTCCTTTTTTACCATCATAAACCAACTACTGAATTCAACATTTACTGTAACAAAATTGAGGATGGTTTACTTAGGAAAGTCAAACACTCCAGTATTCTATAAAAATAGTTGTTTAAACCATGCATTATACCTATGTTTTCTAACCACTACAGCATGCTCCCAAACATCCCTCCAATACACTGAAACTATCTACTGACATTACAGATTAATTGGGAGGAAAGGCCATCGCCTTTATTCTTTCATGCCCCCAAGGAAAATACCAAGATTAAATTGACATTTACCAAGAGTTGCCATCCACAGTCAAGTTCCTGAACACACATCCTATTAATGGGAAGAAAACTTGCATGTCAAATTCTTTACCAACTTGTATAACCCTACGTCCTACAATGTCATCTTATGGAAGTCTCCTAACCTCCTCAGAATTTAGTTTCCTTATCTGTAAAAGAGTTTATCTCAAAAGTCCATTCCAATTACTATGACCATGTGGCATCTTCATCAGCAAGTTTCACCTGGTCTAGAATAGATGTGGAATCAATCAGCAGGATATGTTCCCCATCATTAGGCAAGATGAGGACAGGTATGAAGATGTGAAGACTTCTACTACTCAACTGCACTTAGACTAGGATGTTTTAGTAAATATACCTAGAACTTAAAATTAATACAAACACAATAAAGTACTGGTTAAAAACTCCACTTGCCACATAGATTTCTTAATAGAAAGACAAAATAATAAGTAAATTATTAATTCTTTAGCAATGAGCATTAGGTAACAAGAGTCATCCCCCAACATTTCCCAGTAAATACGACAGCTGTTTCTCATTGTTTTCAACCACCTGCTGTATTAGTATCTTTACTACCAAGGATTTGGAAAGCAATAAAAATTAGAGTCTGCTCTATATTTTTCATTCTTATGATCATTAGTTCATTTTAATCTATAACAGTCAAAATATAAAATGAATGTTCAAACTACTTTTGATATTTTTAATGTAGGCAAAAGGGAAAAACAGCCAAATTTTAGCTGAATTGATCACAATATTACTCTAGAAACAAGAAACTCTTTTATACAAAATACTGATTTCAAAGTAATACAGTTTTTCAAATATTTAAAGGCTGATTCCTGTGCTCACTTTCCTTAAGATCAGACAGTTCCCACCAAACCCTGCCAAGATTGTTTCCTGCAAAGTTCTTATTCTCCCTATCTTGTATCCAGTATATAATGGCAACAAGTTCATATAGGAGTAGCGCTCTCTCTTCAGCAATACACTAATCATGATCTTTAACCATTCAACATAGTCTTCATCCATATAACTCAATGGCAATCTGTCAGGAAACTTCTATTTACCCAGTTCATCCCAGAGCTGCCTGTATTTGTCAGTCATCGCAGTGCCTTGTTGCCTCCAAAGTGACAGACGAGGATCAGCCATGAATTGCTCTGTTATCAAGGTCAACATGCGGGCCCCATTAGAGTCCCTCATCTTCAGCATCTCCCGAACCTAGTGGGGGGAATAAACAAAACAGACTTAAAAAAAAATGTTCAAAAACAAACAGCAATACAGAGACAGATCACTTTTCTTGGGAGAAGGGGCAGTTAATTCTCAACACCAACTCTCTTAAGCAAACCAAAGTTGTTAAAACTGGTTTCTACCCTAAATGGTAATTGAATCAAAGAACTGACTCTTAGTTTTTCTATATTGTTTTAGAATCCACACAAGGAAAAAAATTTGACTAACTTCCAATTCAAAAAGAAAAATTACTAGCTTCCAGAAAAACAGTATCAAAACCAAGAAGACAAATCATTTGGCATCTTCCTGACTCTCCAGTTGATTGCACTTTCCACCAGAAGAGGTGAGCCTAAAAAGCAAGCTACTAAGAACTCTTTAGGGATCTTCTGAATTGACCTAATGATGTTTATAGTAGCATCTGTCCTGCAGTTTTTTAGAAACAGTTTTATTGAGACAACATTCACATACATACAATTCACCAATTTAAATTGTGCAATTCAGTGGTTTTTAGTATATTCAGAAAGTTGTGCAACTCTTCAATTTTTGAGGTAAATTAGTAATTTCAGTAAGTTCTCTCTCACCTCAAGTTCTGTGGCATAAAGAACAGTATCATATTCACTTCGATGGATTGTTTTTGCAATGGTAAAAGGAAAGTGAACAGGGCTGTAGGTTCAAGAACTCTTTTGGCTCTAAACCAACAATCCACGAAGAAGAATCATGACCAGGGCCCTAGGAAGTTCTCAGTCTCTCACGCTGGAACCTCGAGCTCTCTGTCCAGTACTCTTGTGCTACATTTCCAAAATAAAAGGAAGAAAAGAAACACAAGGCTAACAGAAAACCCTAAATGAATCCATCCTTTCCAAAAGTGCACAACTATGCATTCAACAAGAATCCCAGCTGAATACCAGCAGTTCTCTCTATAGGAAATTCCTAGAGCAAGGTCATGAACAGTGAAAAAGGAGAAGTGGGTCCTTTGATTCAAGATTCTCTTTGTGAACAGCAAATGCGGAGGAAATAGCAGATCTTCAATAAAGCATCTCAAACCTCCAGATTAATAAATCCTGCCTCAGGCTGGTACCCTGACAAGTGATGGAATCCCCTCATAGGTTATAGAATTTGAGCACTTCTACAGTAAACCACAAGGGTTGTGCTTCCAGGAAGGTTATTTCAGTAATCTTTTTTTTTTTAAAATATATTTTATTGATTTTTTACAGAGAGGAAGAGAGAGAGATAGTTAGAAACATCGATGAGAGAGAAACATCGATCAGCTGCCTCCTGCACATCTCCTACTGGGGATATGTCCGCAACCCAGGTACAGGCCCTTGACCGGAATCGAACCTGGGACCTTTCAGTCCGCAGGCCGACACTCTATCCACTGAGCCAAACCGGTTTTGGCTATTTCAGTAATCTTAAAAAGGAGTTTATTACTAATATGGAAGCACTAAAAAATCATGAAAAGATGAATATTGGAAGAAAGAGAAGGACTTGCCATTTATTGTGCATCATACTTAAAAGTTTTTTACATTTATACTTACCGTTTAATCTTTATAACAAGTATATAAAGTAGGCCAGATTATAACCCCCATTTTATGAATTATAAAACCAAGTTAAAGTACTAAGGGTTAAAGGGGTCAAATATATAGTGACAAAATCAGAACCCAGATCTGTCTTAACTCTACTGAATACTAAAGTTATGCCATTCCCAAAATTAGAAGTTGATGTTACTTCATATGTCATATGTAATATATACATCATATACAGATAAAAACTACTAATGAAGGCCAGTCTAACACTTCTTTCACATTGCTTCTACTAGGCCACAGGGTACTCTGCTGGCATGAGACTATGAAATACTTCCAGTGTGTCTAAATATACTAAAACTTTAATAGTTACCACTATATCAAGTTTGATTTAATGTTTTCTTTCCTGATAAATTTCTAACCTATTACTCGGCTAGAAATAGCAATGAAAATAAGCACTAGTAAGCATATAAACGAGTACTATTAACCAACATGCCAGTACTACATCTATAGCGTAATGGTAATTAATTTTCAGACTGTTGACTCTGAGGCATTAAAGGAGTTTGAAGTGTCTATGAGTTACTAAAGATGAGTAAATCATGTGTGGAATAGTTTTAGAGTTAAGTATATTTTTTTAATCTAATCATCAGAAAATTGGCAATCTCTGTATGGTATATGCCGCAAGGGTGGAGAACCTTTTTTCTGCCAAGGGCCACTTGGATATTTATAACATCATTCTCAGGACATACAAAATTATCAGCTTAAAAATTAGCCTGTTATATTTTGTCAAACATTTAATTAACTTACCCCTCATGCCTTGGCAGGGCCAGACCAAATGATTTTGTGGGCCTTATACAGCCCATAGGCTGGAAGTTCCCCACCCCTGGTATATGGAATAAGTCTTTATTAAGAGAATATGATGAATATACTATTTTTTGGTCATAACTAGTAACAGAGTTTACTCTAATTCTTCTATACTGAAAGACATCTTTTAATTATTATGAGTATTAGAAAGATTATTTAACAAAAGTATCAATGTACAATTATCTGTTCCCTTAAAGCCAATCTGAATATAATACCAGTAATGATGGCTGTAACTCCAATGAAAAAACAATGATTTAATATGATTAAAAAAGCATTTTATCCAATGTTTAGATTTGTGTTTATGGTACTAAAAGTTCTTATAAAACAACAGTTACAGCTTTTGCTCACACAGAACTTATAACAAAGCTAACTTTGTTTCTTAGGTCATCAAATTTTGGTGCCGAAAATTAACATTTACCAAGGCCCAAATACATGTTAGACACCATTATCATTTAACACCATGATCACAACTTGAGGAGATATGCTACTATTAGCTAATTTTACAGATGAGGAAACTGACTTTAAAAACTTTCCAAGTTTCATCCACTTAGTGAGATTTTGAACTTAGATCTAAACCCTGGTCTATTATGACTTCAAAGTCTATGCTCTTAAAACAAATTTAAAGATACTGACATTATTAAACTAAAAATATAAAGCACCTTTTAAGGGCTATATTCAAGATACTGGGGAAATTAATTAGAAAAAGACAAAACGGCATTTTAAATACCATTAAGGTATTTATTTTGGCTTTAGTATGGGAATGTTTTTTCAAAATTGTATAAATTACCACAATTTTATTAATAGGCACTGAGAAAAAAGCGTTCCGCATCTTGTCTAAGGACATCTAAGCAAATTAATACTTGTGTTAGAACACAGAAGTTTCTAATTGATTAACTTAGAATGTATTCTTAAAAAAATATTCAAAAGACAAGTCTTTACACTATTGTAAACATGATCATATAAAAGATACCTGCTGTATTTGTATATATTTAGAATATTTCTTTAAAAATAAACAATCATACCTTTGCAAAGAGCAAATTAAGCTGCTTCCCTGATCCGTGGTACCCGCCCTGGGAAAGGAACAGTTTAACCTGTTCTTGAACCTGCTCTTCATCTAAGTGCCAGCAGTTTTCATCATCTATACTAGCACCTGCTGTTGGATCAGGAGCACCTAGAAATAAAAAGAAAAAATAACACATATGCTAGATAAAGGCTGTGCTAAAAGGGCTCTGATAATAAACTTGAAAAGAATTAAGATTATGTACTCTTTGCCTAAACACTTTTTAATCCAATCTCAAGTCAATTACACATACAAATTTATGACTTAAAATAAATACAAGAGGCATTCTTGTATTTCCTGGATTTTCCTAATTTATGCTAAGCCAAAATGCAGATTACTTTAGAACTGAAATATTCCCATTTTTAAGATCAGAGATTCTACCTTTGAAGATGAGTTTACAAGTTCTTTAAAGAATAAAAAAGTCACAAAAGTGTCTCATTGTAAATACGTGATGTTTATAAACCTCTACTGTGTAGGACATGTTAAGAAAATGTTTTTCAAAGATTTAGAAAAACATGAAACCAACTAAATTCAGCAGAGTATTTCTCTCTTTACTATATTAATTCAAGAAGCCTTCACCATTATCTGTTGCTGTATAAACTACATGCTGACAAAACTGAAGATTAAAAAGGGAAATCAAGCCACATGGGAACAGGCAGTGCAGCTGTTGTACTAAACCAGGTTGTAGTATCACCTTCCCAAACTGCGTAAATATTTTATTGCTGAAGTACACACAAAAGATAATAGCTATGTAATAAGCCCTGTATGTAGACTACCTTAGAAATTAAAAATCACCCACATATTTAGGCAGGTAAAAATTATGTTTCATTATTTATTAATAAAATAATAAAATAAAACAAAATGGTATTCAAGGCCTAAGATTCATAAGTAATACAAAATAATTTAAATGTAAAACCCTTTCATTAAGTAGATTAAGGTTCATCCCTTAAAAAGATACATTTGTAGGTACTGTTTCCTATTACTTTTATTTTCCTCTACTGATCTAATGCAGATTCAATTGGCCAAGGAAATAATCACTAACATCTGCCTAGAACCAGGATCCATTAGTCCTGAGGAATAGGACAGAAGGTCTATAAACCACTCTGAGAAGGTGTGCTTTCATTCACTCGTTCAGCCAGCATATATACTGAGTGCCCTCTGCTAGATTTGGGAATGGAATGGTTTACAAAATATACAGAATTCCTATCCTCACAGAATTTATCATCTAGTTCAATGGCTTTCAAACTCTTTTTAACTAAGATCCATAAGAAATACAATTTATATCATACCAATACACCTATGTATCTGGGTGCTTATGTGATCACATCTATCTATTAATCTGAAGTACAGTATGATGAAAAAATACCCTTACTATAAGTAAAGAGGTCTGGTATTTTCTATTCCAGTTCCCTTTTTTTAAAGATCTTGTCATAATTTTAAAAACTGATTTCATAATCCCTTAGGGGTTGCAACTCACTATATAAGAAACACTTTTTAGTGTATGAGGTAAATATCAATCTAATAATCACACATACAGCTATATATATATAATAACTAGTGCCCCAGTGCATGGATTTGTGCACATTGAAAAGAAATTAATTAGAGGGTGGCTGGCAGGGCAGAACTGGGCAAGACAGGTGGACACTCCCTGGAGCCAACCTCCTGTAGTCCCTCCCTGGCCGGCAGCACCTGAGGCGGTGTGTGGGGTCCCTCGGCCTGGTGTGTGGGGAAATGGGCCGAAACCGGCTCGCTGACATCCCCCAAGGGGTCCCAGATTGTGAGAGGGCAGTTCTCGGGTGACACTCCCTGGAGCCAACCTCCTGTAGTCCCTCCCTGGCCAGCAGCACCTGGGGCGGTGTGTGGGGTCCCTCGGCCTGGTCTGTGGGGAAATGGGCCAAAACCGGCTCGCTGACATCCCCCAAGGGGTCCCAGATTGTGAGAGGGCAGTTCTCGGGTGACGCACCCTGGAATCGGGCTCCCTCCTCTCTGGTTCTGGGTGCGTCACCCGAGAACCGCCACTGCCAAGTCACCACAGCTCGGCAGCTCCTGCATTGAACATCTGGGTCTGCATGTGAGACTAAGAGCTCCTGCAGAGGTCTCAGGTGGGAAGGGATGTGGTATGTAGAGTAAATAAAAGATAGTTCATGTCCAAGGAACAACAAAGTAGAGGACAAGGGAAAAAGCAATACAAGACAACCCTGGAGAAGAGAAGAAGGGCCAGACCCTGAGAACCCTGGCAAGTGATCTCAGTTTTCCCCCCTTAGAGTAATGAATGGGAATTCATGACAAGGTTATCCAAAATGGAAGAATGGCATACTCTAGACCAGCGGTTCTCAACCTGTGGGTCGTGAACAATGAAAATAACATCCTGCATATCAGATATTTACATTATGATTCATAACAGTAGCAAAATTAGAGTTATGAAGTAGCAATGAAAATAATTTTATGGTTGGGGATCACCACAACATGAGGAACTGTATTAAAGGGTCGCGGCATTAGGAAGGTTGAGAACCACTGCTCTAGACAGTAAAAGATGTTTTGTCCTGATGTACATCAATTTCAATATTTGTACCATGAAATATTAAGCAGCCATAAAAATTAATGAGAAGATTCTCTATGTACTACAATGGAAAGATATCCAGCATATACTGTTGATTGGGAAAAAATAACAAGGTGAAGAAAACTATATATAGTGTAATAGTGTACCTTTTTTTTTTTTTTGGTTTAAATTCTTTATAGTTTAAAGTATTACATATGTCTCCTTTTTCTCCCACTGACCTCTCCCTGGCCATTCCCACCATCTTTTTAATAAATAATAAAGTTTTAAAAACAGCCTGTGTGTTAGTATTTTCTTACATATGCATAAAATATCTTGAAAGAATGTTTAGGATGAGTAACAGTTTCATGAGGAGAGGAGGCTCTTCACTGAGTACCTTTTCATACTTTCAAATTCTGGAACCATGTGAACATATTTATGTATCTAAAAAGTATCACTGTAAAGTGTGAATGATTGGAAAGCAAAAATATATGAGAACAGTGAGGATGACATTTTGATGGTCTGTACAAAGGATGAAGTGGTCGCTTGAAAAACAGCAGTGAGAACAGAAATGGAGAACTAAATAGGACAATCAATAGGACTTGAAGAAGTGGATATGTGAGGTATGGGAGATCAAGGGTTGAGAGACATATGGGTTTTTAGATTAAACAACTGGACAAGATATTGTAAACTCACTGACACACAGACCACTGGAGCAGGATCAGGTTTGGGGGTAGGAGGGGTAGTGTTTAGGTCATGAGTTCACATTTAGATGTGGTGAATTTGAAGTACCTTTGAAATAGCCAAGAGAGAGGACAGGATATCAACAGGGTTTCCTGTTGTAGGTAGTATGGGATAAAAAGAGCATCTAACACGAAGCCCAACATTTAAAGGCTGGGAAAGAGAATCAGCAAGGATGGCAATGGGAATGTGTGGTCTATTAAGAAGAGCAGGAGAGATTGCTCTTTTGGAAGGCAGAGAAAGCTGTTCCAAGTAGGTACTAGGTAGAAATTTAAGCCCCCAGAGAGCAAGGATTTTATCTGCCCTGCTCACAACTGCTTCCTAATACCTAACTAGTGTTTGTCACTATCAGGCAATCAGGTATTGGGAGGAAGAAGGGGAAAGAGGGAGGGAGAAAGGCATGCATATGACTCGTATCAAACAGGAACCACTGCTAGTGTCTTCAAACACTTTATTTCACCACCTCAGTTTCTCTTCACAATGTCCACCAGAGATGAGCATAGATTATGATCCCTGTTCTAGAGAGGAGAAACAGGTTAGGAGTTGTTATGACTTATCCTCAGCCACAATGCCAAATCCAGTCTTATTCTCCCCCCTGGGGAAGAATATATCCCAGAACCTTGGAGCTAAAGTTTGAATCCAGGAGGCATCAAGGCAAGGATTATGAACCGTAAATTAAAGATAAATTTAAGGAATGACACAGATATTTGTAGGCATCTGCTAGCATGGCTCTCTTGTACAGGAAGATTTAAGGATACAACCATGATGTGAAGAGTTTACTGGGGCTACATCTGTATCCCACAGGGATTCAGAGTCCCTAATCCAGCCAATTGCCTAGATTCTAGGAAAAGACAGACACAGAAACACACAGAGACTGGCAGGCACGTGCATTCATCAGAAGAGACTTCCCAAACAACTAAACTATAGAGTCTCAACTTTTATATTTTAGCTCTTCCCAATATCTTCCTAAAATCCTGGGATATCTGGCATGTCCCTTCTTATCCTCTTCTTAGAGAAAACTCTGACAAGGTACTGATTATGCATTCCTCACTGTTCCCTCTGATTTCTACCCTCAGAATGGTTATTTCCCCCAATTTTTATGATTTTTAAGTTGTTTTCTATTGGAAACTGCAGGCACAGACCTACAAGGAGTCCTGCCTCAGAAGGACATGGATGGAGGCTGACTTCCTGTGGTGTGAGGGAGTTGTGCTACCCTTCGCTGCTTGGGTCAGAGCTCTATGAGGCTTGGAGTTTCTGTTTGCCTCAGAAATATCCAGATATTTTAAGTAGATTTTAATTTGGTTTGGAGAAAATCCTAGGCTTCTTCTTGGCTTGAAGTGGCAAATGGGTTAACATTCAGATACTCTCCCAAACTTCAGGATATACTCAATTCTTGTATTTTTCATACTAAGAAAGAGAAGTACTAGGAATAATAATCAGGAATCACTTTTATTTGACTTGAATTACACAATGAATTTTTCCTTATAATCTAGTAGGTTTTAAAACACTATCATATTTTTTAAATATATGACAGATTTAAAATGCCTTTAATGAATCACTTAATTTACATGCATACAGATTTTTATTCTTGTCCAGCTTGAAAGACATCTAACAGCAAATGTCTAAATATATGAAATTATGTTTCTCAAGTTCTTAAGGAAATCAAGTTGTGGTTTTTATTGGGGGGCTGTGAACTAGTATTAGAATTAACATTTCTTTTTTTTTTTCTCTTTATTTCAGAGAGGAAGGGAGAAGGAGAGATAGTAACATCAATGAGTGAATCATTAATCGGCTGCCTCCTGCATACCCCACACTGGGAATCAAGCCTACAACC